AGATCATGTTTGTAAACGTGCAAGAAGAAGAGCCAGCAGTATAAATAAGGCTGTATTTGGAGCTGCGTTTTCGGTTGAAGTCTTTGGAGCTGCTGGTTGCAGATAGTCTAATATTGTGCATGTGTTTTTGATAAAAATATTTAAAGCAGATCGTGTATATAATCCATCAATATAAATACAGCTGCTAATTAAAACTAATGCCCCATATATAAACGCTTTATATTCTACACAAACTTGAGAAGGATATAACGAAGAATAGCCATCAGTATCAGTTGGGGTGGTCACGGAAATTGTTCGTTGGTAGCTGAATAAGGCTTACATGGTGAGTGCTCAATTTTTTCTCTCTATTTTATGTAGATGCCTTAATATTATTTAGTCAGGGAGGCGGTTCGGTGTAGATTTTATGATACTCAATAATAAATTACCCGGCGTTATTCGGGCCAAAACAAAATTTGTATTTCGACGGCGGCTTGAAGCGTGTATATTAAGTGATTTCTGAATTTTAAAAAGAAAACGCTAAACATTTCGTTCCGTTGGAACTAGGTAACATTATTTCTCCAAAAGCTGTAAGCCTCAACAACGAATATTGCTTTTCGTGTATCGATTGGCGAAAGAAGGATACTTGGCTTGCAGTGCACATAGCACTCGAATGGACGATACTTTATTTACAGCCAATGTGTAGTCAATAATAAATATTTAATATGGTTTCTCTGGATCGAGTTACTTGCTACCTCGAGGGCTTTTCGATTGCAAGTTAAACAACTTAATTTGCCCTCGAGGCAGACGGCAAACAAATCGAAGCAATTGCACAGCAGGCTTACGATATGTACGTGTGTGTATTTGTGCTATCTACAGCTAAGCTGTCACAGATACATACGCGCATTTTGCCAGATGGACAGGCAATCAGTGCGTTTTCCTGTGTAGTGTCGCTGGCACACACAAAAAGAAAACAATTTAATTAAAAATTTATGAGGGTGACGTTGTCGTTGTCGTTGCCGTTGTCCTGGCAAATATACAAACAAAGCAACAAACTGTTGCTGCACCCACACAATTACACACGACGAGTACTCGGGCGACCCCTGGAGATGGCCGCGCACACACATGCCTACCGGAAATGGCCTGCTGCCATTGTTGTTCCCCTTTCATTGTGCACTTACGAGAAGCCCATTACGAACCACCCCACCCCCTCTGCGGTTAATGTTATGTTGGCTTTGGCTCATTTGTTTGGAACTTGCTGGCGCTGTTTAGACTTTTGCCAGCTAATTGCCAAAGCGCCCTTTTTCCTTCTATCTCTCTTCTGCTGGAAGCGAGCAAGAGAGCGGCCTAATTATCAAAGTTTTTGAAACTTCCGCCGCAAAAAGTTTTCCCTCGGCGACATAATTGAATTGTTTATTTGCTGTTTGCTTGTTGCATATGCGACTGTTAATGTGTGTGTTTGTTTGTGAGTTTGTGCATGTGTTCTTGTTGTTCCTACAAAGTTTCTCATTCATTTCAATTAATTTGCAATTTTCGGTCATAATTTGATGCATTCAATTTGTTGTGCCGACGCAACAGATCTTTAACAAAAACTTTTTACAACTTCCGGCAGTTTAGGAATTTGGTGTAATTTGTAATTGTGATTATTTTTTTTATATTTTTTTTGTTGCATAAGCATGATTCTTTATTTTTTGTTTAAAAGTGGAAATGGTTGAAGTAATTGGGGTATGGAGTGTTTACTATCAGTTAACTTTTGCTCTATTGCCTTTTATCTTCTTCTCGGTTTCTTCAGCATAGTTTTCTTCAGGGTAATTGTCTGTTCGTGTAGTAATGGGTAAATTTAAATGACTAATGGATACAGGGTACCGCCTAGTCTCGCAAAGCTAATCTGCATGCTAATTATATACCTACGTAAATTACAGTTCCTCTCTCCGGATCTGTCTTCTCCACTTTTGTTTCGCACTTGGTGCGTAATTTATGGCCTTGCTTATCTATTACGGAGCAACGCTTCAAGTGTCGGCTATTTATAAGCGTAAAAGCTTCTTAGCCTTTGTATATGGGTTTCATCTGTCGAAGGACGCATGGCGGACAAAGGGATATGTTGAAAGAGGCACGTGTGTGACATTGAATACCCGAAACAGTTGGCCATGTCAGCATATTCGGCTTATGGCTGATTTGCTCCACAGGCAGTTTCGATAATCTGTGCCCTCAGCACATTTACTCAAAAATGAAAACATACTCGTGGAGTTGCTTAAAATTTGTCTAAGAAAAAAGGCAAATTAAACATTTGCATAAAGCATTTATTAAAACCTGAAGAAACACCTTTAATATGATCGACTAAATTATATTACATTAAAATTAAAACTCCGAGGCCCTACTTTTACATTATACAATATTGAGTACGTGTTTTATCAGTGGCCAACAAATAACATATTAAGTTAGAATTAAAGTAAACTCTATATAAATGCGTCAGTATTTGTTTCTTTACGTTTGTGCCAAATATATATTGATTTATGATAAACAGCTTAAAAGATTTTATGCAAAGCTGTCTGCAGTATTACTTAGCAATACAATGCCTCAAGTCCTTTTTTCCTTTGATATGGATATCGCATAACTTGCGCCCACAGCTTCTTGGCGAGCGCTCCCCGCAAGTTGTTCTTTCCTTTTCCTTTATAATACATCCTGCACACTTTTTATTTGTTGCGTTTCCCACGCACAAAAGCAAAACCAAAGTACGATTGCTTCATGGCAAATGTGTGTAGCATACTTTTCGGTGGCTGGCGCCAATTGTGGAGGCGGCTCACAATGCGTTCCATATGTCAGCTGCTGGCTTATGGAAGTGGCGAGCGTCGCGCGTGGATTATGGGATCTTTAAAAGCTTTTTCAATTGTTGAATATTTTACAATTTTTTATTAGCTTTGTGCTGGCGATTACCGCAATTTTATCCCTTTGGCTTTTGAAGTGACGCTACACACACACATACACACACACGCATATATGTATATACACGTACATATACGCATGCATATAATTATTGTTGCTGTTGCTCTTGTTGTTATTGCTGTCACAGTTGTTCTTGCAGCCAATGTATTTTTTTTTATGTTTATTTCTCATTAACTACAAGCGAGCTGCGCATTTTGTTGGCCCCGTTTTAATGGCCCACGGACCGTTGATTTTAACGTCTCGTGCCAGTTGCTGTTATTGTTATTGTTGTTGTTGTTGTTTATGTTTTTGTTGTTTTTGTTGTTGCTGTTGATTTTTTTCACAAATTAGTCGCACGAACATTTTGCTGTTGTGGCACTAAATGGCAGGAAAAAGGCGACCGCGACATAGTCCTGCCTGGCAGCCGAGTTCGCCGCGATGGCAGCAAATTGTTTGCAACATGCAAAGTGAGGGCCCGCAAATAGGCCGACATAGCCAGAGCCCAAGACTCAGACCGGCGACCCCGAGCCCCGGGCATTCCCAACGCTGGAATCGACCCATTCTCCAGTTCGCGGCTAAGCAAACATGCAGGCACACACATAAACGACAGGCAGGCAAACAGTCAGTGAGCCGGTGGCTTATCTGCTGCTCAGGCAGCATTGTCCTTTCAGTCCTGGCAGGAACACACATGCATACACACTCACACAAACGCGGCATGCGATACACTCTGCACCTGCTATTCACCTTTTACCAGTCTTTTGCAGTTCTGCTTCTGTTTTGTATCCACTTTTTCGGGTTGCCTTTTTTTCTTTTCGGTAGCATACTTACGTGCGCGGTCTGCCTCAACGGAATTTGGGGGAGACGCGCAAGGCACGAAATGAATATGGATTTGCTTTTAATTACTGGCTGAGTACAAACACAACAAACACAAAACCATTTTTCGGCTGCTATTTTTGCGCCGGCGGTTTTGTTGGAATTTTGTTGAGGATTTTGTTGCAGTTATTTTTGTGGCACAGACTTGGTTGACTAACAGCAGCATACTTTATTCAAATACTGCTGCGTATTATTTTGACTAGATTCATACAAGGCCGCGTAGTCCTGTTTAACATAAGTTCATAATATTCATAAAATGTTACCGATTAGTAATGGGTAATTGAAGTCTTCAAAACGAATTTAGTTACAAATACGAATATTTAGGGGAATATATAGCAAAGCAAATTATTTTGGCTAATATTCAGTTGTTTCCGTACTTCAGTTTTGTTATAATATAATTTATCTCTGATTAAGTCTGTAAACAAAATGTACTACATTATCGGAGTCTGTTGAAATTCTTTTCTTAAGGACGTTTTTTATATTTAAATTATTTCAGTTGAATTCCACGAAAGTCTGGATTATCAAAGTAAATTGCAATGCGTAATGTGATGTCTTTTAGTTTGTCGCATCTGCTGATTTCAACTTTTTAGTTTATGAGAATTTTGTTTACCTTTAAACATTTTTATTATTTAAAAGCATTTCAGCGTAGCTGTCTGTCATGTAGTTCGTCTCACATTTCGACACTTAGTGTGCGATTCCTCAGTAGACCTTATTTTTATCGTTTGGTATGGATATTGCCTGTCATTGCTGCTGAATCAGGTCAAGCAAGGCCCAACCCAAAACTGGGCAGGGCCCATACCGCTTTCCCTTACGGTAAATCTTTCGCATACACACACAAAAACCTTGTTATGAAAAATGCGCCCAAAAGGTATGCAGCACTCACTAACAAACACACACACGCACTCACACACACACACTGGCTGTCACACACAGGCAAAGATAAAAGTGCTGGCCGCAGGCTTTTACAAAGTCGCGTATGCGTTGCTCTCGCGTCTCCTTCTTCTTCTTGGTGCAGTGTGTATGTAGCTGTTAAAATATGTATTGGCTTGCATATTTTATAAGCTACACGTGCTTTTCAGACTTCATAAGCCCCGCACACACACACACGCGCTCGCTTACTTTGCCAACTCGATAATATTCATTGGCTTATTAGGTTTATTTTTGGGTTCACTCTCATTATTTGCTCTGATTGCAAGTGCCAGGGTTAGGATACCAGCTTATCTACTTACCCATTTAACAGGTTACACGGCTAAATCCTGTGTCCGGATCCATTATTTAAGTGCAAGCGTTAAAAAGCGCGCGCGTTTTTAGACGCACACACAGGCACGCGCGCGCACCTGACACACTGTTTTATGCGTAGGTGTGTGTGTCTCTGTGAGATGTGTGTGCTTGTGTCTGCCGTTTGACAAATTACACGCGTGTGCTTTTCTTGTTATTACAGTTGTTGTTGTTTTAGTTGTTTTTTAGACGTTGTTGTTGTTCACACATTCTGTAGCATACTTTTGGGATGCTGATAAATTGCTCTTTTGTTGAACATTTTATATGGAACGCAAAAGATGATGTGATTTTTCTTGCATTAGATGAATATTTAATATTTCAATTTCATTATAAGGCACAGAGAGAAAGAGCAGGAAAGAGAGCGGAATAGAGATATAGCGGGCGGAGTATGGCAAGAGTTTAAGTGCGCTGGGGACCCACATATGTCCATTTAATTGTTACCTCTCAGCATTCTCATTATCAGCTTGACTAACCCAACACACCCACCCCCCGCGGCGACCCTGTCCGTGTCTCGAGTGCGTCATTAGGCGTTTGTTAATGGCTTTTCAGTGTCGCCATTTGCCAGCTACGGCAGCAGCTCACATGCCTGAAAGTATGCAGTGCAGCTCTCGTGCTAACTCATTTAATATGCTTTATGACGTCATGTACACGGTCTGTTGGCCTGCATGCCTGCCTCTGCCTCTGCCTCAACTTTTTCCAGCTAACCCCACTACGGCCCAGCCCAGTGGCGCATGCGACAATTGTGTTCCTTTTTTTTGGGGGGGTCTCTTTTGTTGCTGTGTTGCCACTGTTGTTGTTACTTTTTTGGACACGCCTCTTTTGTTTACTTTTGCCTTCATTGTTGCGAGAGCGTTACCCATTTGAAATGCACATAGCCTTGGTTCACAAGCACAAAGTATCCCTCGGCTATACGCTCAAAGCGCGTACGGGCATCGACTGAAATACATCACGCGAACATGTTCTCTATTTTTATAGGCCTCCGAATAGCTCATTTCATAACTAGTTAGTTAGAGCTTGAAGCTAATTCGAGCTAAAACTAGCTCTATATGCTGTGTGGGATACCGACAGGATCTGATATTATTCCAATATAAAAACGTATTTATATCGAAACGTTTCTTAAGCATTTGAAACTTTTATCAGAAATGCCCAATCACAGCGATGCTTTTGATAATCTTAGTTTTCATAATAAAATCTTCACCTTTTATGTTGGCTAAGTGGTTTCTTGACTTCGTTCAACAAAGTTTTCCCTGAAAATGTTTCCTCCAGCACAAAATTTATAGCTTTTTTAAAGTTAGTAGAACTTATTTTGTACATATCCCATGTTTGGCTGCAACTTGCTCTTAAGCTTACTTAAGCCAAGAGCGAAACAACATTTTTGGATGACCTAAAAGTAGACCTTATTCAACTAGCCGCAGGTCAGTTCAGCGCTGACCTTGTGCCCTAATATGAGCTTTAACTTAGTCACGATACACGCGCCCCAAAATGGTTGATGGTCCCGTTGATTACATGTCTCAGCTGGTGACTGTCACTGCCTGCTTACTAGTCAACCACTTAGCAATTGGCTACACGATTTTGCCAGTTGTGTGGGGACTGAGCCAACCGTCGACTGCCCTGTTTGCACCTGCTTCCTGTGTGAAGCTAAAGAAGCCTATTTAGGTCTCCACACTGCCTGATAAAGTCACGTTTTAACTGTTTGTTTACCCAACCGAAGGGAAAACGCAGCACTTTGCCAAGACCTAAACCATATAACCCTAACTTTGTTTCTCGTAAGCAGTTCCGTGTTCCATAAAAACTATAATGATTCAGCTTGAAGGTGATTCTAATTTGCATTTCATTCTAGGCTCTGAAGGTCCTGTTTGAAATTAAAAGTTTATGAGTGCAATTTATCATTTTTCAAATTTAGATTTTAAAAGATTTCGAATTTTCTCATTGCTCTTCAGAGCGTAAAATGCACGCGTCCTGTTTCATGAATAATTCCTATTTTAATCTCCCGACTTTTCTAATTTCAGACAGTTTTAATTCCCTCAGTTCTATTTAGGATCTGACGCTCTCTCTGTGCCCCTTTGCATGATTTTTTAAGGCTTTCCCAGAGCATTATTTGGCATTAAAATATTTACTACTTCGCATTACTTTACTTTATTTAACTTCACTTTACTTCACGAAACTAAAATTCCCAGCAACTCCATTTTGTTTTCACTGTTGTTGTCGTTGTTGTTGTTTTGTTGTTACTTCGTTTCTTCTGATACTTTTTTTATTTTTAATTTTGCTGACTGCGACTTGTGTCTTGCCCGTCGCGTTCCCGTCTCGTTCCGCGACTGACCGTTGCTTAAAGAGCTGACAAAGCGGCAGACGAAAATGGAAAAATGAACTGAAACGGAAACGGAAACCGTTACTTTCTCTGCATCGGCTCCGAGCTGTGGACGTCCGTTGGCGTGCAGGCTAAGCAACAAACTGTTGTCGCCAGTTGAAATTCAAGTGCATGTTCGTGTAAAGCTCGCCGCTTGTGAGGAGCTTGTGTTTGTGGTTGTATTTGTATTTGTGGCAGTGTTTGTTGTGCTTTCGCCACACACGGCACGTGCTGAGCTTGAGCTTTCCTTATTGCTCGGCGTAGCACGTGAGGCCGAGCCAATTCAATTGGTTTTCTCAACAAGTGGAAAGCTTTTCAATGCGCCATCAATTAGCGCCTGTGCTGTTAATTGAATTTTCATGGCTACCAAAAAGAAGTAAAAAAGCTCGCTGCAAACAGAGTGAAAAAAAAAAATAGTTTACCCTCAACCTGTTGACCACCACAGCGGCGCTTAGGTACCGCCCAGGGGATGATATAGTGGGGCGGGGGGAAGCTTTTATTGCATGCTGGCTTTTGTCCTTACAGTTTGCAAATAGTTTTCTGCTACATCAAGGACTCTGCCTTGCTCTTGAAACTGGCAACTAGCTAAAGCCAAAGCCAAAGCGGCTGAAATATTTATGCACACATAAGGTCATCGGAGCAATTTGTCCGCTTCGCTCAGCTGGCACTAAATAAAATACTTGTATACATTTACGTTATATACGTTCGAGTTGTTGTGGGTAAGTAGGAAAGTAGGAAAATATATAAATTTGCTAGGCCATAACATTTTATGTTTTGATACTTAGCCAAGGACAAGGTGGCAGGCACAACTTTTCAACTTTTCAGTTTCCGCAACAAAAAGTCTATAATTGAAAAATAATTGCGATATAATTGAATGTGGCCTCTTTGGGTGTTGCCAAGCAATAATAAATTCATGCAAGAGATACAGATACATTTTGCATGAGCAGTTGGAGTAGAACAATACAGAGAACAAATTGTATTAAACATGGTTTCGAGTACTTTGTCTTTATTTTAAACCATAACTGAAGACAAGGGAGCTTTGACAGTTAGCTCCACCTAGCGTATTTTAATCGAGCTAATCTAAGCTTTCGTGTAACTTTTTGTTAAATCATTCAAATTCAATATCCATTAAGGTTTTTAAAATCTTTTCGAGGTCAAAATTAACTGAGCACTGCTTTTTATATTTAAAAGTGGTCATTTAAATGCTTCTAAGTGTTACATATATTATATATTTAAGAGATATTCAACAAAGCTAGTCGCCCTGAGAGATTGTAAAGGCTAGACATAAAATTTTTATGGTACCAAGTGTTACGTTATTCTTCTTAGACATATTTTATATATATTTCAACAGCAAGTATTCTCAGCGACTGGGTAAAGTCTGAAACTAGAGGTTGTTCAGCTTAACGGCACCAAATCTTATATGCGTATACTTAATGCAGTTAAAGTTTATTGAATGTCTGCGATGATGCAAACAGCTACTTATTCATATTATAGGGCCAGCGGATTGATAACCTGCTTTAAATTAAGTCTCTTAAGGGTGATGGAAATATTTTATGCACATTGTGGACAAAATGTTGATTAACAATTTACCAAGTTTACAATCAGCTGCCAGTCTGGGTAAGAAATATAAAGTGTTTATGGTGCATATATTTAATACATAAAATATTTACACTATCGATTTGCGGTTTTTTGAGACAAAGCAGCAGACCGCAAGACTAACAGCTTAAGACAACAAAACATCCTGGTACGGAATAGCACTTTGCTTTATAGATTTATATATATAAATATATAAACGAATATACGAATTTATTCAGCTTAAACACGAGTAAATCGCATGATAAATGGTCAAAAGTGCCCCAAGGAGCAATTTAGTGTTAAATGTTTTAGATTCAAGTTATTTTAAGTGCTGCAATTTTGCATGCGGCTTTTCGCTTGAAATTAATGATTTTGGAGGAGTTCTGTTGAAACAGTTTATCACATTTAAATGAAAATCGAAAACTGGTTCCACAATTGACGTAAATTTCGTCAAGTTTGATTTGGCGAAGCGGAAACCGGGCAGCCCAAAATCTATTGGATATTTAATTTTATATGTAAATCTGAGCGCTAGTCAACAACGTGTTGGCTGACTTTTTGCTCCTCTTCGCAAATGTCAAGTGTGGCGAAAAAGAAGAAAAAACTATGAGACTCGAAATAGACAATGACAGCTCAAAAAGGTCTCTAGTCTTATGCGAATGACAAGCAGCACAGAAAAAAAAGATACAGAAAGACACACTTTGGCACACTTTAAAGTTGAAGCGACGACGTTGGCAGTTCGTCACGCCTTTCGACGCCCCACCGTCATTTAGCAACCGCGGTCTATGGGCCATTATTGTTTTTAATTTGGCTTTAAACTGATCAAGGTCGCAGCGACAAAAAAGCGGATTTAAATTGGAACGACAAGATGCCAGACACGATAGTTAGCCACATGGAAACAAACAGTCTAACTAAACGATATTTTTTCGATTCGATTAGTTTGTTATTGAAGTACTTATTTGTTTTATCAATATGAAAAAACAAAAAGCGGTAATTAGTAGCTTTAATTTCATTACAAATAGGAATTTTAGATTTTAAACTGCAATTTTTCCTTATGACTGAAACTGGAGGATTTTGATAGTCGAGAGATAGAAGTTGGTTTCGATTATATAATTCCATAACCTTGGGCTCTAATTTTTATTTAACAAATTAAATGAAAGACAAAGACATATGTCTTAAATTTAGATGCTATTATATACCACTTTTCATTTAAAGCGGAGTAGTTTGAATATTTTATTAAACCAATTTTTTAAAATTCTTTTGTATTATAAAAAATATATAAATAACACGATTTGGGGAGACTGGGGAGACTATGAAGTGGATACAAATTTACTTAGATGTATGTGGGAAATTCTATTCCATAATTTATTATAAATAATGTATAAATAAAACAGTTTAGGTAGCCTGCAGAACGGGTATATGTGGATAAGTTCATTCCACATTCTATTGCTCTAATTTGAAGCTCTGATATGTTAATAAAAATCAAAAACAGGTCCCAACTGATTAAAATAATTTAACACGATCTTTTTAAATTTAGACTCCATATTAATAAATATCGACGATTATTATTAACATATTTATTATTATTAAATTTATTATCATTTTAATTATCATCATTTTAATAATTATCATTATCATTATTATTATTATTATTATTATTATTATTATTATTATTATTATTATTATTATTATTATTATTATTATTATTATTATTATTATTATTATTATTATTATTATTATTATTATTATTATTATTTTTATTATTATTATTATTATTATTATTAATATTATTTTTATTATTATTATTATTATTATCATTATTGTTCATGTTATTTTTTAAGTATTGAGAAACGTATTGAAATATAAATAATTGGCCCAGGGAAGATCGGTTAAATACTGTAAAAAGGCCAGGTAGTAACTGTCCTAAATTTGACAAGTGTGCTTTTTACATTTTGGTTATGATGAGATAAGTGTTGAATGTCGGTCGTATTGTCGCTAGGGTATACAAACTTCAGAAACCCAAAAATAACTGTTAAATCATGTTGTTCGATATGTCTGAACGTATGTGAGCATACTTATTTTAATGAGGATACGCCCAGATATGAGTGTCTGGAATTTGCCAACGAAGCGCTCAAAGCTTCAGACATAAAGCCAAGAATTTAATTTGCAGCAGCAAGTGGGCAGCAGCGACAATAGCGAATGCTGTCCACACATTTGCAGTCCACAGAGGTGGGCTCAACACGCGCTGCAGCTGCTACTCACCACGGGGCAGCCACCACCAGGCACCAATACAAGTAATGGCTGCCATTTTGCATATAAAAGAGTGTCGCGTACGTGCCGCACTTCTCTCTTTCTGGGCGACAGTCAAGTCACGAGCGTATTTTGAACGGCACTTGTGCAACCGACCGAGCAACGAAAGCCGTTGAAAAGCTCACGAGTGTGGAACGTGTTGCCGCCCCTGCCGTTGCCAGTGCTTGTGTTTAACTGTTAAAAAAAAAAAAGCTAGCGAACGCTTTCCAAAACTCACCACAGCGCCAGCAGCTGCAGATCGACAGCAGCAAGAGAGACGTCCGCCGCCGCCGCCGCCGTGTGTAATAAAAGAAGCAAATTTGAGTTGGTTTTGGGCTTTGGCGTCAGCTTCGAGAAATTGTGCGCGACAACGTAGCAAACAGTGTAAATGGAGCTTTGATAGCGAACGGAAGGACAAAACTACTGCCGCTGCTCAAAGCTGATCTCAAGTCGAGTGTTTTTTAACATAGTGATTCGAACAAAAAAAAATAATAGAAACTGCTGACATATCATAGAAACTGTGCGTGTGTTTTTAACTCTACAAAATGGCAAAACTCTTTGTTGTTTTTGCCGTTTTGGCTTTGGCGGCCATTGGCGCAGGTAAGCACAACATTTTCATTGAAATAGTAAAAACAAACCACAAAATATGCTTTTAAGTACATATATTAAAAAATGCTTAGTTATAGTGTGGGCTTGTTTTAATTGCTCTGTCTGTTAATTTGCATTGCTGCAGCGGAAGTTGTCAATCAATATAAAAACAACAAAAATATTTTAAAACTGGCCTTCAAAATACAAAAACTGAAAGCTGACTAAATTAAAGTCGTAGCCTGTTTGTAACCTTGATTATGCAAAAAAGGACGCGTAGACAATTGCCTGGCCGCAATAACAACAGCAACAACAACTTGCTGCACTTGCGAAACAACTTTCATTTCTGTAGGGTCCACAGATCCTGAGATTCAACATAAAACAGCATTCAGCTCAGCTGAAAAATGTAACTTCGATTCGATTCAAGTCGAGTTTGACATTCGACATTTGTGGAATGCATTTGTTGACTTTGACAGGCCATCGATCAATATGTGTGATTAAGTACATGCAATTCATGTACCCAAGTATGTTGTCGTGTGTAATTTGCCCTGCGGCATTGCCTGTTCGACTGTCAATTAACCGTTAACAGTTATGCAAATATGGCAACTGTTTCTTTCACTGTTGCCAACTGTGACTGCGAAATGTCAAAGTTATAGCCAAGCGCAACAAGTATTTCTATATATTATTTTGTTGCTGTTGTTGCTGTTATTATATTTGTTATTTTTGGCCTGGGCTTATGGAGTCTGCCCGTCGTTAGTTCTTTGCATTGGTATTGGTGACATCGTATTTCATAATGGCAAACGTGTTTTGGCCAACCCCAAGAGGCACAACCAGCTAGACGACATGCCGTTAGTCCCCGGTCTGCATCTACATATGTCTATGTCTATATCGATTTCTTTTTTTTTTTGTTTTATATATATATATAACAGGAAGTGCCAGCCATACGACACAAACCAACCCACATTTGCCATACCGAGTTCACTGCTGAAATTCTTCCGGTTTTGAAATAACATTAATCAAAGAAAATAGCCAAGCTTTGGTCTGCTTTTAGAAATTTCCTTTCTTAACTTTAATTCAAAACAAAATTCTGAATATTGCAAATCATTTAAAGATTTCGAAGCCTCAGTAAAATAATAGATATTTAAATTGCATCAAACGCTGTTTTGACTTTCAATTAATTTTTCACTCAGTTTTTTTCTATCGACAGCAGCAAGCTTAATATGCCCCTTTCAAAACCATTTAGTCTTTTGTTTGAGTTTTCATTACGTTGGGTTTTGCTTGAATTTTTTTCTAAATTAACTTATAATTGCCCCATTGTAGCCAATGCCGAAGAAGCGCGCGTTAAGCGTCAAGCCACAACCGAGGAGCCCAAGAAGGAGGAGTCTTTCGAGAAGGAGCTGTGCAAGGACAAAGATGCCGGCGAATGGTTCCGTTTGGTAGCTGGCGAAGGTGACAACTGTCGCGATGTCATTCAGTGCACCTCATCGGTAGGTTTCCGTTAACTAGCCCAGCTCTACGGACTTCAGACAACTAACATGTTTTGCTCCGCTTCTGCTCTGATGATTTACAGGGCCTGCAAGCCATTCGTTGCCCAGCCGGTCTGTACTTCGATATTGAGAAGCAGACCTGTGACTGGAAGGAGTCGGTGAAGAACTGCAAGGGCAAGAACAAGGAGCGTCGTGTGAAGCCTCTGCTGCACACAGACGAGCCGCTCTGCCAGGATGGTTTCCTCGCCTGCGGTGATGGCAACTGCATTGAGCGCGGCCTTTTCTGTAACGGCGAGAAGGATTGCTCAGATGGTTCCGATGAGAATACTTGCGGTAAGTACAGAATTGTGGGCTTATAACTAAGAGAAAAATGGACAGCATGGAGAGGAAGACTTGGAAAAAATAAATAGATTGATAGATCAGTCAGAGATTACGCATTCAATGGAAGCATGGTTAAAATTCTCAAAGATGAAAAAGACTAAAGAATCAATCAAGGAAAACAACCATAATTTGCATAATAATCATATTGCGTAGTCGCTTCTCTTCTTTATGTGAATGCCACAGAGAGTGAAAGGAACATATAAGTAGAACCTAAGAGAGTACGGAAAACAGAGCTCTGCCAGAAAGTAATACGAAATAACTACCAGCTTTTTTAAAAATATAATCATAAGTGGGACTTGAGCGAGCTCAGTGGTTATTAAGTGTATGTAATGCCGGTGCTACATAAGGTTTGACTTGAATGATTCAGCAAGACTCAAGAAATAAGCTGCCAGCATTACATAGGATTGGCTTCAAATCCGATATTACCCCATCATCAGGCAAGATAAAAACAAGAAAAAAACATTTCTAGTGGCTTACATTTGTGTGCCGCGTCAATTTCTTTGAGCTGCTCAGTGGATTTAAGCCTGCCCCAGTCAGAGTCGCACCTTAAAACCGGTCGACGGCATTTAACATTACTTTTGGAGCTGTTCGGTCGGTGGAACCACTCTTTAAATCTCTGAAGAAAAACACTATGCAACAGACAAGTGTCTGTGAGGGAGCTGGCGAGGGCGCGGTGACGCCTACGTGCAATGCAGGTATTGCACCAAGTATAGACCGGTTTCGTAAAGCCCTTCAGAGGGAGCGATCGTAAGCCCATAAAATTCCGTTGGATTTCGGTTCAACTTATTTCTTATACATACGTTGTTTCTTCTTCTTCTTTTGGGTGGAAATGTCAAGTGTGAAATGGTAGCAAATGCCAAAGAAACGAACTTTGAGCTGATCTCATCACTGATCCAAACACAAAACTGGGTTGGGTCGTGCATTTTGCATCATTCACTATACATATGAATGGCCCGGGTGTTAGGCCATGCTTAAGTCACACACATCTCGCATGCAACATCTAAATGTTAAATAAATCAATAATTAATTTTAACCTTGGACTTAAAAGAAATAAAACCAAAGCAAATGTACGTATATCTCCCTCGTTGCCCACTTCGTCGCTCTCGGCATGGGGCCAGCTACCGAAAGGCGTTTCAAAGCCCGTTCGATTCATGTGTAAATTAGCCTTACATAATCGGCTTAAAACGCTGTATTTTTAGCAATTGCAAAAAGCCGACTAACCAACAACAACAAAAAAAAAAACAGCAACAAAAGAGCCAGCAACTTGTTATTTATTTATTTATTATTTCTTTAAAATAGCAGCCAGCGCAAAAAACCGCAACTAATTTTAAATAACAACAAAGTGGAGTCTTTCTTACCTTTTGCTTTGATTTTGTTTTCATTTCGCTTCGTTTTTTATTTTTTCTTCACTGGGTTTACATTAATAATTTGCAAAACACGATGCCGACATTTCTCAAGACGAGCCCGCATTTAAATGTGCATTAATGAGCAAATCAAATGCCAAACAATAGTCAAGAAATAAATGGCCATTGCCAGAGCTACGGCCGTCCAATTCTAAGACCTCCTCCATAGATCGTAGCTCATAGATGCCAGATCGTGTCTTGGCTAATGCGAAAATTGGCACGTTTCACAGCCGTTGGCGATGGCAGCAACATTGCAAGTGCTCAGCGAGCCATTAATTTGTAAACAATTGAATTTAAAATTGAAATTGAATAATGCAGGCACTTGTTCGCTGATCACTGTTCGCTGCTCGCTGCTCGTCTCGAAGGCAATAAGGAAGCCACAGTATGAGCCAATTTAAATGGCAACCATCTAGAGTTGGCTGCGATTAAAAAACCATATATCAACAAAAATGTGCAGCAAAGCGTCGAAGCGAAGGCAATTAGGTGTGTGAAGCGACGACTGTTACGCATAGATAGCCCCGGAAAATAGCTTAGGTCTATTTATGAAAAATAAAACATTGCAGAAACCAAATATACAAAAGTATGATAAACGATATGTTTGTTAAATAGTGACAAAGCTATGCTGAATGCATTTATTCAGTCTTTTCTGACGCTTTCATTTTCTTTTTTTCAATAATTTGCTTAGCGCGACATTTTTGAACGATTTACTAAAAGTTCTGCTGAAAGTTATATATCTTATTGCAGATTATGAGATTATGAGTGATATAAAAAGATTTCCTATTTCTGCCTTCTTCCTAGCGCAACATTCTTAAACGTTTTACTCGGCTTATTAAAAACTTAAGATAAAATTAAAATTGTAGATTACAGATTTATTCCCTAACACATTCATAAAATCAGGAAAAATTCAACAACTTCTATAAAGATAGTAAGCATGTTTCTTTCCTAAATCGTTATATACTGCGATACAAAGGTTAAATTTTCCCTTTCTATTTTCTTTGCGCGACATTCTTAAACGTTTTGCCAAGAGCGATGCTTTCTTACTGTAAAAGAATCGAATAATTGTAGTCAGATAACACAAATTCTGCAAAAGACTTGTTATTTGAAGGAATGTGAATGTAATATCCAGATTCTTTTAACTGTTTCATGCCAGTCAACGTCTTTTTTCGTTTTTTTAAACCAACACAATAAGATCCGTGATTGTTCACTTGCAATTCCATATGCCACTTGGCCGACTTTATCACGTAATCGGCCTGTGCCTGTGCACATCCTCTTGAACGAAATGTAAGGCCAGCTCACATTTAGCTTGCTGTTGGCCATAAACAATGTGAACACAAGAGCACAAACACAATGAGCAAAAGGAGGGACGGACAAAGAAATGGCATGAAAACTAAAGACAAACCCTAAAGTCGCTTAAATGCCAGGGAATATTCAGAGGCTGAGCTGCACAACCGGTTCGATGTTCGATGACATAACACTTGGCTATAACGACAGATTATTGGCAACAAGAAATGCCAACAGCTGGCAGTCAGTAGTGTGTGTGCCAGGAGAGTGAAAAAGAGAGGGGTAGAGAGGAAGAGAGAGACAGGCGGAGTGATAAAAGGTCAGGCGGAGACAAAAGCCGGGTGCGACCTACTTGCAAAAAATGATTCGAAAAGAAAAAAACCTGAAGAGAAAAACGAAGGAAATAAACAAAAGTGTTTTCTTTTTTGTTTGTTATTATTTTATTTGCTTGGCCTTTGCGTGTCTCGTTGGCATTTCACTTTGGCAAGTGCCAAAGCAACAAAAAATTACGTACGAAGAGTTTCTTTTACTGCAAACTTTCGCAGTTGATTTATGATGATGAGCTACTGATCCAAGCTCCAAGCTCCAAGCTCCATGCTTCAGGCCCAATGCTCTATGCAAGTGCAAGGCTTACAAATGACGTTGGCAAGTAGTGTATACATAATTTGCATATGGCCGCTAATGAATGGCAAACACGTGGGCGTGTACTGAGGCTGACCAAAAGCCGTAGACAGCGCCGCATAGATTAAACATTGAGGCCCTCTGCCCTGGCCCAGGTGAACGTTGGCTGCATGCCAAAGCAGTTACCAAGTCGAGCTCTTCGCTTGATTGACGAAGACTCGGCTTAAACAAAACCAACAACAAAAAAACACACACTCACACGGAGAAATATAGATTCAAAATAATAATAAAAATATATATATATGAGGTACTGAAATTGTGCAGACATTTTCCATTCACTTTGCGTTTTGGCGACGGCGGTTTTCCCGACACCCAGCTGATTTGTGATTGGTTTTCCAGGCCCGACGCAGTTCATTGAACCGGCTGCCGCCCATGTACAGTTAGCTAATTGTTTGAAATCATTTTCCATAAAGTTGATTGAACTTTACTGAAACGCCCCGTACAGAATATAAATGATTAGCCAAGACCCAAGTGCGCGGAGAAAAAAATAGTCGAAATAATGTATGTAATTAAGGTTATAAGCCCACAAAAATTAAGAATTTCTTAATATCTATGCCGGCCGTGTGATATTTATAAAGATTTCCCACATCTATTGACCTGCTTAGGAAAATCAGAAGTATCAATCATACTATCTAAAGTCTACAATGTTTTCCGCTTGAAGGGATAGCCAGAAGTTAATAGAGAACTGTTATCAATATTAACATCTTATGTTAAGTAGCTACTTACAGCCTTTCCTTAACAGCTTTAGTTTACATTTGAAGCATTTGTTATAATAACACATTTGAATTAATAAATTCTTTGGCATTTAATACTGGTTATATGATAAATTTCCTGCGCCGTGCAAAGCATTTTATTTGATCTTTGTCTTTCTGTTCGGATTTTTACTTCATTTATAGATATCGACAACGATCCGAATCGCGCACCACCCTGTGACCCTGCCGTCTGCGTGCTGCCCGATTGCTTCTGCTCGGAGGATGGCACCTCGATACCCGGCGATTTGCCTGCCAAGGATGTGCCCATGATGATCACGATAACGTTCGATGATGCAATCAACAACAACAACATTGAGCTGTACAAGGAGATCTTCAAGGGTCGCAAGAATCCCAATGGCTGCGACATCAAGGCCACCTATTTCGTCTCCCACAAGTACACCAACTATTCGGCGGTGCAGGAGACTTCGCGTAAGGGTCACGAGATTGCTGTGCACTCGATCACGCACAACGATGAGGAGCGTTTCTGGTCGAATGCGACGGTCGATGACTGGGCCAAGGAAATGGCCGGCATGAGGATTATCATTGAGAAATATGCGAATATTACGGACAATTCGGTTGTAGGTGTGCGTGCTCCATATCTGCGTGTCGGCGGCAACAATCAGTTCACCATGATGGAGGAGCAGGCCTTCCTCTACGACTCGACCATTACAGCTCCACTATCGAACCCACCATTGTGGCCATACACCATGTACTTCCGCATGCCCCATCGCTGCCACGGCAATCTGCAGAGCTGCCCCACGAGATCGCACGCCGTGTGGGAGATGGTGATGAATGAGTTGGATCGTCGTGAGGATCCCGCCAATGATGAATATCTGCCTGGCTGTGCCATGGTGGACTCCTGCTCGAACATCCTGACTGGCGATCAGTTCTACAATTTCCTGAATCACAATTTCGATCGCCATTACGATCAGAATCGTGCACCGCTTGGTTTGTACTTCCATGCCGCCTGGCTGAAGAACAATCCCGAGTTCCTGGACGCCTTCCTCTACTGGATCGATGAGATCCTGGCCAATCACAATGATGTGTACTTTGTGACCATGACACAGGTGATACAGTGGATGCAAAATCCACGCACCATCAGCGAGGTCAAGAACTTCGAGCCCTGGAGGGAGAGGTGCGTGGTGGAGGGCAGACAAGCCTGCTGGGTGCCAAATACCTGCAAGCTGACCTCCAAGGAGGTTCCCGGGGAGACCATCAACCTGCAAACCTGCGTCAGATGCCCCAACAACTACCCATGGGTCAATGATCCCACTGGCGATGGTTTCTTCTAAGTCAGCGTGCGAGAGAGTAAGAGAGATAGAGAGAGAGCGCGATTGTGAGAGAGCGAAGGAGATAGTGCGTTCGCATCCAAGCAGCCCCAATCCAAATTCCTACAGTCACCTACACACTACTCGACTTTTATTATTTCAATATACTCAAGACTTCTTTTATATTGTACTTTTTATTTCGACTGTGCCGCGTTTTAAAACGCTACAAAAACGCGCTCGGCTAAGTCTGCTGTGTTACGTTATTAAAAAACAAAAAAAAACAAAACAAAACAATGAAAACAAACAAAAAGAACAACAAAATTGACAAATGACAACACAACACAACAACAACAACAAACAGCAAACAAAACAAAACTTGTGTTTTTATATACTCATTTTTGTAGTTTTACGTTAATTTGTATGTGTATATTTAAAAAATACCTAATAAAAAATAAAGTAAATCAAAAAAAAAAACTAAAACGAAAAAAAAGCAACAAAACAACAAACTTAAAACGAAACAATTGAAAAGTATATTTCATCATTTTGATTATTGTGATGCTAATGCTGAGTAGCAGCAGCCATAAAAATGCTATTATAATGCACAAGATGAGTTTAGCAACAGTCTCTCTTCTACCTGGCAACAGACGCAAGTCGGCCCAACCACTATATATATATATATATATATATCTCCAACTACCAGTATAGCCAACAATCAACCCAATTTGTGTGCGCTACCCACTGACTTACTAACCAGTTTTGTATTATCCCAACAAAACCAAAGAAACAACAAAATTTGAATAACAAAACGCGTTTTTGATTTCGGTTTTCAGTTTCGATTTCAGTTTCATATGTAAATTTAAGTTTTTTTTTCTTCTTTTGATTTTATTAGTATTTCGAGTGTGTCCTAGACTGGTTTTATATCAATTTTAAAGCGAAGCAACCGGTCTAGAATTAGGCATACTTAGCATATATATTTGTATGCATATTGCTTGGGAGCATATGAATTTATTATAATGCAAAATTTAAGCTTATTAAAATCGCTCTTTTTATGTTTTTTGTCTTCGGTTTTTTCATGCCAATTTGTATGCACACAAAATGAGTGCCGGCTCTTATGGCCCGGATTGTAAAGTGGTCTCCGTCAACAGGTTCTTATTTCATATTTATATATATTTATTTCATATAGGGAATCTTTGGACAGCCCCCGCTGGCGCTTTGCGCAATCATAACAAATCACACAGTCGTCGATAATTAATTTTAAGCATTGCGAATTTCGACTCTTTCATGGAAATACCACACTTATGTATATGCGTGTCCATGCAAATTTATGTGGTTTACAAATTATTTTTTACTTCGCACCGCAAAATTGACTCAATAAAAAAATACAATTTCATGTGGTTGAATATATATATATCATATATTTTATATGTCAATTTTAATGCATGCATAAGTTTTATCACCAGCCAAGGTGATTGCATTGACTGACTCCGAGAGTAACAAAAAAGATGTCGTCTGAAAAGATGAGTAATTTGTGGCATGGCTTAATCGTGCCTTCATTAATCAGATGTTCAGTAACTAATGCTACAAATCGTAAGCATAAAATAAAAGAAAGCATATAATTTCCATATATAAGACCTGTGTGGCATAATATTTGCCATTACAATCCTTACATATTCAATAGACGTTTTAGCCAGCGAAAACGAGTTCCCAAGAGATACGATGTGCCCATATTCATACATATATATACATATATATTCGCACGTGTGTGTGTTTGCCAACTTTTACTCTTGCTAAGGTGAACTAGTTGTAAAGTGGACGCTTTGCATAAATCGTGTATGAAAAGCGAACGCACAGTGGGCCAAAGTGTAATATTACTGCTCGAAAACTAAGCAAAACGTAAAGCTTATGTGTCAATGCTAGATATGTTGATAATGACCAAACAGCTTATTTATTTAAAACAACAAAATGTAGTCAAATATTTATTCAAATAAATATAATTTATAAAAATATGCGCATATGTACATAAACAAGCAAATCGGAGAAACAAACATAAATTAACATTTTATTTAAGCAAATCATAAATCAATATTCAATGCATTTGCATAGGCTTTCAATCACTGTGCACAACGCCGCCTCCAATTGACGTAGGCGCCCTTGTCTTGACAGCGACTCGGCTCACAAATTCTCGAATATGCTTCCTACTTCTGGGACAGAGCCTCGAGCTGGTCAACCGGTCATCAAGTAGACATACGTATGTCATATGCCAGGCATATCCAGTTAACTGGATTTCCATGTGGCGAGACACGTTTTAAAGAAACGGAATCAGAGTGTGTTAAGCGTCGTTTTGAATGCTATGCATATAAAATCCGTTAAAAAAAAAACAAAAATCCAAAATCGGAAACCCGAGTTGACAATTGGTATATTGACAGGTGATTTGAAAAGTTCACTGATTGCATAATTAAGGGGAACGGGTAGATAAAAGCACGCCGAGCAGATGCACACAAATGATCAGCAAATGGAAATTGAAAAATAAACATATTTAAATACGACTCGCATTTCAATATTGAACATCGAAAAAAAAAACACCGTTGCCGACGCTATAGGGCCTTCAGTGCTCTCCACTTGCCATAAATTAAACACAGTCTCTGCGATCCACTCGGTTCGGTTTGGTTTGGGATAGATTTGGGGAGAGACCCGGGGTGAAAGGGAGCTAACACTTATGCAACTTTTGTGTGTGTGTCTGTGTTTTTTATGGTTATGCATTTCTTTTACAGTCCACAGTTTACAGTTTACTTTTTACAGGCTCATCTTCAGCTCGAAGCGCTCGTCGAGCATTTCCTTCATTAACAATTCCGTTTTTGTTCAGTTTTCTTAAAGCCAATTTCTCTTTTTCTCTTGATCTGCTTGATGATCTTTGTTAGCGTTTCTTGTGGTTGCGACTAAATTTGTAATTTGCTTTAATTAGTATGAAATTAACTTGCGTTGATTAAACGAAGGATTTCTCAGGGCCACAGCTCAATAAAAAGCAAATATTTAAATTAAAAACAAGCTTTGTAAGTTGCTAACTTTTCGCTTAAATAAAAATTAACTCAAATCGCTTGCAATTGTCTACCATACCATAATACTCAAATACAAATCACATATACGATGATTGGGGGCAATCTTGGCTGCTCAAATTATGTAAATCCGTAAAAAAAAAGGTTTTCACTCGTCGAAAAAAATCAATTTCAATGCCGTCGAACGCTTGAGGTGCCATCATCAACATTTTCACTCTAATTGAAAAACCAGTTTAACAGTTGATTAAAAAATGGTATTAATAATAATCAGCATGCTCGAATATGCGGGCGATTATATCACCAAAGTGTAAAAACCGTTGCCAACTAAAATTAATTGTAACTATCAAAAGCGAAAAAAAATCAAAGAAAACAACTGCAATCAACATTTGCCAAAGAAGGTAAACCACTTTTTTGTGGCATCTTCTGCACAGACGAACACGCACATATGTATACTTGGAATATATATATATCTATCTTAGGATCGGATCGCAGCTGTCGCACCCTTCACTGACGCACGGCACGTTAATTGACTACGCCAATTAAAATGCAATTGTAATGAACCGCAATTTCAAGAATTCTCCAGCAAAAAATCGCGCATACGCCATGTTGTCTGCAGCACTTAGCTTTTATTCGACTTTTTGCTGACATGTTCTAGTACAAGACAAACGTGTTTTCAAGTTCAGGAAATAACTGGGCAACCATGTACATACACTTATATATATTGTATATATTGCCATTCTTTTCTAGATCAAACCTGAACCAAGTTCGTTTACAGACTGTACCAAAGGAAAGCTGTTCAGAAAAATATCAAGTGTTGTTTCAGCTGAACAAAACTGATTTGTAACTGCGGAAAAGTTCTAGTACAATTACAAAAACAATAATGATCATAAAAAAAGTATTAAAAGGTAGAAAAATAACTCTGTTTTCTGTCAACATCTTTCACATTCAAAGTAGCCTTCAAATAATTTGTTAAGCAATTATTTTGTCACTCAGAAACAATCAATCGCAACGCTTTTTATATTTTTGTTATCTTAAGATTTGCAAGTCAAAATTAAATCAAATATTTGTTGACTGCTGAGAGTGTATTTGAGCAGAATCCAAAATATTTTGCCACTTTTTACTTACATGCTTAAAAAATTCACAAGCAAAACTCATAAATATTGGCTACAAATATTTATTTTGAACACAGATATTATAATTGGTAATTGTATTTAAAAAAGAACTGAGCTTTGATCCAATGACAATAATAATATATAATATAATTTATATATACTGTTAATAGTATTTGCAGTTCTTGGCAGTGTCTAAATATCTGTAAAAAATCGACAATATCTTAGAGATATTTTAAGTATATATTTCCAATTTAGGTAGAATTTACTTTGGAATAACTTCTTTATAAAACTCTCTGGTCTTTTCAAAATAATAAAGACTTAAGACTTTGGGCATAGCACCCAAAGAGACATACTTTACTTATCACATGATCCGAACTTAAAATAATTATATAAACTATTTAAAATATATAATTTTAAAGACATTTAAAATGCCTAAAGCTCTATCAACTTAATTGAAATTGTTAACACTGATATTTTTGGTGTTTTAGAAAATGCACTTGACTACAATTCTCAGCTTGTAAAATAAATGTAACACATAACTAAAATGTGTTCACTTTTAGAACCCATTTCCATTGTCTTTTATTGTGCTTAATTATGGCAATGAACCTTGTATTACATAATTCGAAAATTCCCTATTTATGCCAATCTTAACATGGCCGCAATATTAAGGCTTGTCCACAACAGTTTCATATCCGCAAACATGATTCGTGTTTTGCGCATGCATCCAGCCGGATGAACGGACAAACGGACAAACGGATGGAGGGACGGAGCACATATCATCATGTCATCATCATCTCGTACGAGCTCTTAACTTATTGAATAACAGGCTGGTTCCAGCCAGGTAAGTTGGTACGCAGCCCTTTTTGCTCTGTCTGTTCGTCTGTCTGTCTGACTGTCTGACTGTCTGTTTTGTACGCCTGCATATCTTTACATAACTAAAGGGGACTGCAAAATTGAACAAGCGCATAATCAATTTGCCATTAATTAAGATTTCGTGATACAGCCAAAGAAAATTAAAAATTAAAAACAAACCAAACAAAAATCTTAAAAGGTAAATTTAACGCGTGTGAGTCAGCGACAGTTAGAGTGTTACCACTCGGTGCTGGAAGCGACTGGAAGGAGGAGTCGCCAGGAGGTTTATTAACCTTTTTTTCTGCTGTCTTAGCCACGTTAACAAGAATTTAATGTACAGGTTGTGAGCGGAATGGGCAATTCACTGGCAAAGCGGCTCAAGCGAGCCGTTTAAATGCAGATGGTGTGACAATGTCTAACCACTTGCCATGCCGCACGAGTGTAGGTGAAAATAAAAAGTAACTAAACAAGCGGCATCAACAAAACGTGTAAAGAAACACGTTCAAAAAGTACCATACAAAGAAAAGCCATGGAGAACCTTGCTGTCGACTGACAGATGCTCTGTTCCCCAGATAATAAAGCCAGTGCAGATGGGCAAGAATGTACAAGATGCAGAAGAACATCATCATAATACAATTTTGGGGCTAATATTGAAGATAGAAGAAAGAGGTTTTGCCTCAAAATCGAAAAACTCTTTTATTGGATTACATGCCAATGTATCCGAGCATGCCCTGTTGACTTGCGCGAACAGAGTATAACGACAGTTACGAAATCGAGATGTCATGTCTTCGTAGAATCACAAGATAATAAAGAGCCAAAGACGCAATTTCAGGGTCATTAAATGATTGATGTTTGAAGATATGATTTATGCAGCTGAGTTGGCAGTCCAGCGGGATTGGCTAAACAGTGCTGCCCACCTGGCAGCTTTGGAAAGGTGTAAACGCACGGCGAGGTGCAGCTCCAGACACGGGCACCCACACATACCAAATGCGGCTCACACCTGCGCCCAAGCTAATTAACCTTTCTTCAAACTGCGCGCACACCTTCGCACGCAGAGAGACAAAAGCAAAGCTTAAGCCGCCTTGGCATTTTCGAATCGAAATGGATTCCACACAAAGCCTCAAATTGTGTGTTACCCCTTAAAAAAGCTTCGCACTGCGTTGCGCCGGCGCCGTCGTTAGCTCGAAACTCACCACGCAGCCCAAAATGGCGCACACACCACGGCTTAATAAATAGAACTCGTTGCTGGTGGACAACACCTAGTGTAAGCGTGGCTGTGTATTGGAAGAGTGCCCTCTGTTCACTCGCCTACCTCTGTCCAACGAATAGCCGTTGTTTCAACATTTGCTGAGCGCTAAAAGTAATATTGAAGTTTCCAGTACATACGAGCAGACATATGCCAACTTATGTCTCTCCATATAAATACATATATATATATATAAATATATTAAAAGTGATCATCCGAAGTGTAGTTTTTTGCTAATTTAAAGTTTTGTTCGATTTCTTCGATTTGCAGCCAGCGCTGGTACCGAACATGGCGCGTTGGTGGCCAATTGTGTCCGTTTTGCTGTTCTGCTGTGCAGATGGTAAGTACCAAAAGCAATCCGACCGCATATATACATATATATTTTTTTTTATTATTTTTATAATCATGCATACATAAATAAGTATATATAAGCTAGACTTGGGCTTCGGCTTCAAGTTGGAGTTGGCCACGTTGGCAGGCCGCCTACTTGACCTTTACCAGTTGAATAAGCAGCGAATAAATATTTGTGTTTTTTTATGCACAAAATTAGCAAAACAAAAAGAAATACAAAAAATAAATAAAAGAGAAGTCGTTGGCCAAGGTAAATAAACTTGAAAAATATAGCAAGGTGTCAAAGCTGTTATGAATTATTAGCAACATGCAATAGTTAATGGTTCGATCAATCGATCCAGCGCTGCTGCAAGTTGAACAATTTCCTTAAATACAAACAAACAATAAAATAGTAGGAAAAAGAAACTGTGGCAAGAGACCAAACTGAAGCCGGAGCTGGCCATAAAAAATTAGCATAGGCAACTTTTGATACGATCGCGTTTGGTTCCGTTTATTATTTTTGGAGGCGACAACTCCCAGGTTGTTTATGCAATACCTTTTAAGTTAAACTGCAAACGTGTTTCGCCTGCTTCTACAACAGCAGCAGCAGCAACAACAACAACAACAACAGCCATTGGCCATTAGCCAATACACAAACCAGTTTGGCGACAGCAGCAGCTACACCTTACCATGTAAACAACAGGCTCCATTAGCAGACGTCTCTCACTTACACTTCGGGCTATCGCAATTTCGCTTGCCCTTTCGTTTGCGTTTGCGTTTGCGTTTGACGTCTCTGCGAGATGATAGATATACAAAATGTAGAAAACGTAACAAAAACGAGAGTTGTTTAGCTTTTAGAAGTCGTTTAGACTAAACCGGTTCAGAGTCGGTTTGCTGTTGCCTGGGGCCGCTGAAAAATTAATTAATAAAAAAAAGAAACAAGTGCGAACAGGCCATAAGTGCTTGTAGCTGTCGATTAGCACTAATTATGCGCATAATTAAATAATGACAATATAATGAGTACCAAAAACATTAAAAGCCAACAATTATTTACCAAGAAATCTTTAAAAACATTTTGCCACAAAAACAGTTATTTTTTATTTAAATTTGTGAGGTAGTTGAAAAAAAATCATAATAAATAAATATATGAATTTCCATAAAAGTATATCACAAAATAAAAAGAAAAGCAATTGCCAGAAATTCTTTAACTGTTTTTTAGGAAGCCTTTGTTACCTAAACTGAAATGATTAAAAATTCAAAACAAATAAAGTTTTTTAACGCAATCAGATATTGCTCAAGAGTATATTTAAATAGGAAAAATTAAATGGAAGATAAATATTTTTAATGAATTGAACATAAATATTTTGCATGCAGTGAAAGAATTTTTATAGGAATTTAAAAAAACTAACTACAAAATTGTTATTTTTATTATTTTATAAATAAAATAAAAAACGTTTAAATTAAAAGTGATTTTATAATTTAAGTGCTTAATAATATAGGCATAAAAATACTATTGGCTAATTCATTTTTTTTCACGCCCCTTCTCTTAGCCCAACATCAGGACAAGCTTGAGGGCGTTGATGTTGAAGAAGTGTGCGCGGATCGTCCCGCTGATGAATATTTCCGTTTAGATACGGAGAACGATTGCCGTGAAGTTTACAGGTAAGCATTTAAGCAAAGATTCTTAGACTGAAAGTTCTCGTTATGCAGTCTTTGAAGATAATGTTAATTTTGGGGAATTTGTTTTGTTTTCACATGAACAATTTTATTGCACTTACTCCAAAAAAAAAAAAAACAAAAACAAAATAAAAAAAAATGAAACTAAAGGTGCGACAGTGCCGGAGAAGATGGCAGCAATCGCTTGGCACCGATCCGCTGTGCCGGCGGCTTGGCGTTCGATGTGTTGCGTCAGCTGTGCGATTGGAAGACGAATGTTAAGAATTGCGATATCGATCAAAGTAAGTGGGGTGTGTCCGCGCCAGGCATTGAGCCGAGAGCCCAAAAGTATACTTCAAAGAGCTCGACTCTGTGCCACCCAAAACTCTCCTACACAATGTCTAACACTCTGTTCTGTATGTCTATCTCTCTCTATCTATATCTATCTATCTCTATGTGCAGGTGTGTGTGTGTGTGTGTAGTGTGTGTATTTGTCACACAGCTCATTGTATCTCTCTGTAACTAAAACCAAACCTTCGTCTCATTGCATTTGTTCAAACAAAAACAAACCCAAATCGAAGCTCCGCCAAACCCCCCTCGAAAAGAAAGTGCCAAAGTTCTGTTAGCTAGCAAAATAAAATTCGTTTAGGAAAAACTGCAAAAACTGTAAAAAAAAAAAAAAAAAAAACAACAACGAAAAGTGTCAACAAAAACAACTTTATTTTTTAGATGTACTAGGTCGGGCCTAAAAGAAATTCAGTGCCCCTCCGGCTTGGCCTTTGATGTTATTAAGCAGACCTGCGACTGGAAGGCCAAGGTGACTAACTGCGATGAGAAAGAGAGTAAGTGTCCTGACTGTCTGCAAACCAGCAAAAAAAAAAACACATTTGTACATAGCACTTGGACAGATACATGTATATATATATATAAATATACATATATATATATATATATATATACTTATATATATATATATATATAGATATAGTGAACTTTGGAACAAGAAGAACAACAAAAACAACAATCCTAACCTCCCTCACAATCACGTGTAAACTTCTCACTTCAAAATTTAGACAATATTTGTCACTAACACGCCACAACAAAATCAAATACCTACGCCCAATTCTAACATAGGAATTCTCCATCCACTCCTCTAGAACCCCGCAAGGCGCAGCCCATATTGAAGACAGATGAGCCCATCTGTCCCGATGGCAAGCTCTCCTGCGGCGATGGCGAGTGCCTGGACAAGGAGCTCTTCTGCAACGGCAAGCCCGATTGCAAGGATGAGTCCGATGAGAATGCCTGCTGTAAGTGACAATAATTGCGGCGGATGCCAAAGCCAGCCACACAGTTTCCTAACTGATGTCCGTTTCTGTTGACAGCTGTTGATGAGGATCCCAACCGTGCACCTGAGTGCGATCCCACGCAGTGCGCTCTGCCCGATTGTTTCTGCTCCGCGGACGGCACACGCATTCCCGGCGGCATTGAGCCCCAGCAGGTGCCACAGATGATCACCATTACGTTCAACGGTGCCGTCAATGTGGACAATATCGATTTGTACGATGACATCTTCAATGGCCAGCACCAGAATCCCAATGGCTGCTCCATCAAGGGTACATTCTTTGTCTCTCACAAATATACCAACTACTCGGCTGTGCAGGATCTGCATCGTCGCGGCCACGAAATCTCCGTTTTCTCGCTGACGCACAAGGATGACCCCAACTACTGGAGCGGCGGCAGCTACGATGACTGGCTGGCCGAGATGGCGGGCTCCCGTTTGATTGTGGAACGTTTCGCTAACATCACAGATGGCTCCATCATTGGCATGCGTGCGCCCTACCTGCGTGTGGGTGGCAACAAGCAGTTCGAGATGATGGCGGATCAGTTCTTTGTGTACGATGCCTCCATTACCGCCTCGCTGGGACGTGTGCCCATCTGGCCATATACCCTGTATTTCCGTATGCCGCACAAGTGCAATGGCAATGCCCACAACTGCCCGTCGCGTAGCCATCCCGTCTGGGAGATGGTTATGAATGAGCTGGATCGTCGTGATGATCCCACCTTTGATGAGTCGTTGCCCGGTTGCCACATGGTTGACTCGTGCTCGAACGTCGCCTCTGGCGACCAGTTCGCACGTCTATTGCGCCACAATTTCAATCGCCACTACAATAGCAACCGCGCACCTCTCGGTCTCCACTTCCATGCCTCGTGGCTCAAGTCGAAGAAGGAGTATCGCGATGAGCTGGTCAAGTTCATTGAGGAGATGCTTGGACGCAACGATGTGTTCTTTGTGACCAATCTGCAGGTCATCCAGTGGATGCAGAACCCCACAGAGCTCAACTCGCTGCGCGACTTCCAGGAGTGGAAGGAGAAATGCGATGTCAAGGGTCAGCCCTACTGCTCGCTGCCCAACGCCTGCCCGCTGACCACACGCGAGCTGCCCGGCGAGACGCTGCGTCTGTTCACCTGCATGGAGTGCCCCAATAACTATCCCTGGATCCTCGATCCCACTGGCGATGGCTTCTCCGTTTAAGCTGAGGCCAGAGCACAGCTCTCTTTCTAATTCCTTTCCAAAAAAAAAAAACAAAACAAAACAAAAAAGAGAACAACGCATTAGTAGTTCAACCGAGAGTCTGATAAACTAAACACAAAACCTACACAATGCAATAAATGTATCTATCTAATTTTTACCTGACCCCCCCCCCCCCTCCCCCCTACGCTCTGCTCTCTTCTCCCCTTCCGTCTATTATTTATGCAAATCTTTCTTTTTATTGCTACTATTCCTGCGTATTTCTCGACTTTTCTCAACTTTCTCTACTTTCACAGCTCGTTTTGTATCCCCACTTTTCGTTCTTTCTTTTGATAATGTTGAATGATAAAGTGGATTGTTTTAATTTTCTACACAAACTAAAAAAAAAAAAAACAAAAACATCAACAAAAGCTGCTACTTTGTTATATAAAAAAAAAAAAACAATTTTCACAAAAAAACCGCGCCAAAAACTCGCAGCAGCTAAAATTCTTTGTAATTATATAAGTATTTTTTATAAGAAAAATATAAAAAATATATTAAAAAAAAACATATATTTATTTTACTTGTTTTATTTAGACTTAGAAATCTGACAGGAAAAAAAATAAATAATTGTATTTTTAATTGCGTCAAGCGGAGAATCTGTTTAAAATCTTGTGCTATATCTTTTCGTATTAAAATTTTCGTTCTTGCTTATACGTGGGATTATCTGAAAGATCTAAAGCTGTTCCCAATTTTTTTGATCGAGCGGGACGAAGTTCAATCTTCCCATCCAGCTTATTTCTCATGAATAGTTTGGGCACAAAGTTTGTTCGATTTACAATAATCAGAAGCTTTAAATGTAAGCCTACCTATAGTTCATTTTATTAACTATAAATTCTAACTTTGAGCGCGTTCTGGACTTTTTTTAAAAACCAGCCTAAGTTTCATTTAAGTAAGTATTGTCTATACATTTGTATAAGCTCTAAGCACATGCTTCGTTTATGTAAGATAAGTATCAGATTAGTATTTGCTGTCTGAAATTACTCTTGTGATAAGCACATGCTAAACCTTTATTGGCATCTCATCGAAACTAAAAACCACTTTATGAATTTAATACTTAAGCCGAGTAAACCCAATCTTACTATATAAAGTATGAAATAATATTTTTTCCTGTGTAGCTTTTGTGAGCTTGTTTAGTTGCGTAGTCTTCAAGAGAATCAAAGTGCATTTTTATAAGAGCTGCATCAAAGTCTGATTACGGTTCGAAGCAACTCGCTGGCTTGAACTTCCGCTTGTGAAATTAGTTTTCCACATGTTCTTCGTTCTTCATTCCAACTTTACTCTTTCAAATAGTTTCTAAATTTAAATTTACTTTTAATTTTTAAATTTATAACTGCCCGTTCTACTGAAAATATTGCATCTCTTATGTATTTTCATATAGAAGTTGTGGGCTAAATTTTATTACTACTCAAAATTGGCAAATGCCAATTGTGCTTAGAAATATGAAATATCTATATCTATATCTATATCTATATCTATATCTATATCTATATCTATATCTATATCTATATCTATATCTATATCTATATCTATATATATATCTATATCTATATCTATATCTATATCTATATCTATATCTATATCTATATCTATATCTATATCTATATCTATATCTATATCTATATCTATATCTATATCTATATCTATATCTATATCTATATCTATATCTATATCTATATCTATATCTATATTTATATCTATATCTATATCTATATCTATATCTATATCTATATCTATATCTATATCTATATCTATATCTATATCTATATCTATATCTATATCTATATCTATATCTATATCTATATCTATATCTATATCTATATCTATATCTATATCTATATCTATATCTATATCTATATCTATATCTATATCTATATCTATATCTATATCTATATCTATATCTATATCTATATCTATATCTATATCTATATCTATATCTATATCTATATCTATATCTATATCTATATCTATACCTATACCTATATCTATATATATATCTATATCTATATCTATATCTATATCTATATCTATATCTATATCTATATCTATATCTATATCTATATCTATATCTATATCTATATACTATATACATAGTAGCTAAATCTATTAAAAACACACATTTTTCCCGGGTTCGAACCGGTTCAATTCGAAGGAGGTTTGCAGCCATGATTTTGACTAATCAAGATAGCCTTGCGATGTAAATTTACTAAACTTGCAACAGCTTGTTTTCAAAACACATCACACAGAACTTTTTCACCAAAAGTAAATTCCAATTCTAATACTTTTATACATTACATAGAGGGACACACCTGAGTCTCCATTTTGAGCTTTAATACTGAAGAATATTTAGAGAATGACAGAGGTGAACACTCGGAATCTGCAAGTTTTTTTATTGGGGATTTTATATTATGTATGTATTGTGTTTATGTTTGGATCGAACTGTTGCCAACTTATATGTGATTTAAAGCTTTTAATGATACCTGAAACGGTAAGCGTACCGGTAGCAAGGCCCGCAGTCGATTTTAATGGGAAATTAATGTCAAATTTTGGACCGGCAAAGGACGTTTCAGAGTTAGCGCTCAAACAGAACAAAGCAAAACTGTTTTTATTTGCAGATGAGAGTACGCTAAGCGCGAAAAGAAATTCTGAAAGTGTTCAGACCACGGTGTCTAGCAAACAGGAAACAGAGGTAACCCTTAAGATGGCGAATGGAGGCCAGGAATTTAATCCGTGGATTTTAACAGTTGGCAATCAACTAATGGACGCCAAATTCACCAAGGACCGCAAGGAATATGAACGTATCAAAGTTGTCTTAAATCCAGCACAGAATTATAATCCCAATTTGAAGATGAGCACTGTGTGCACCGGTTCCACTATACCATATGGGGAACACAAGGTGATGAATTGGCTTGATCGGAATGTACATAGGCACGTGCATTCGAATCGTGCATTCTACATGGAACTGCGCCACGATCTGTTTATCAAGGCCAATTCGGAGATATGCCATAACAAAAAGTATGTAAAATGGATGGAATATCAGGAATGCGCACTGCGTCGCAATCAACGTTTGGAGTCTTATATACCACAATATCCATTGCATCAAGTCCTCAGAGAAAAATATTAAGATTCGTAGACGGCATCGTAATAATTAATTCTTTCATCTGAAATTGTAATATCTAAGCCTTCATGCATAATTGAACAGTAGCTTTTTCTTTTCCATGTATGTTCGTATGTATCTATTTGTTCGCATTTATACCAAACGTAGACCAATTTAACGGCTTTCTAATATCGCCCTTCTCTGCGATTTTCATGAATTGAAGTAAGCCTGACAGGTTTTCATGCTTTGAATTCATGTGTGTCTTCGAGTATGTATGTGCTTCTGCACATATGTGTGTATGCATGCATGTGTGTATGCATGCATGTGTGTATGCATGTATGTGTGTATGCATGCATGTATGTATGCATGCTTGTATGTATGCATGTATGCATGAATGTATGCATGCATGTATGTATGCTTGCATGTATGTATGCTTGCATGTATGTATGCATGCATGTATGCATGCCTGTATGTATGCATGCATGTATGTGTGCATGTAGTTATGCATGCATGTATGTATGCATGTAGGCATGTATGCATGTAGGTATGTATGCATGTAGGTATGCATGCATATATGCAAGTATGTATGTTTGCATGCATATGATGATGTAAGTATGTATACGAATATGTATGTACTTCTGTATATATGTATATATGAATGCGTGTATAATAACAAGCCAAAACCATAATCTTGCGAGCGTTTGTGAATTTTTGGCTGGCTACGATATATATTTAGAAATTGATAAAAATGTATGTTAATCCACCTCAGACCTAAGCGTGAGCTATCTACCTTGTTTACCTAAGCTCGCGTATGTTTTTAAAATAATATACGTTAGATTTCAAACGATCATCCTGGCATTTTTGGTGATAATTTCTCATGCACTTTATTCTCAATATCATGTGGGTGTTACTCCAAGTAATAAGCTACAAAGATTTGTTAATAATGCCATTAATCTATGTATATTGAACCAAGTGTGGAGCGTAGAAAGCGGAATGTTCCTCAATTAGAGCCACAGGCGCACGTGTTGATCCCAACTGGTCGAGGCTAGACACATGCCATTGGGGCACAAGCTGATGCAAGTTATCCGATTTTCATGTCCAGACAGCGTGCCTGGCGAAAGAGACAGCGAAAATGGTAAATGACAAAAATCAATACCAGTCAAATGGCAATTGAAGCCGTCCACGTTTGCCACCTACCCGTGTGCCGTTGCTTCATTGCATCCCACGAGTGCACATTGCCCTCAATGCCGCCGCACAATATGTAGCGACCGCTGGTCGATAAAGCTAATGGGCACAAAATCAGATTAAAAATTGGCTAAAGTCAAGGCGAACCAAGAAGCACAAGAGAGAAGCATAAAAATATAACAACAATAATGGAAACACGCACCGCACGAAGTGAAGCCCGTGTTCTTCTGGGGCGGCTCATAGAGTCCAATTTGTTGGTCTGAACGCAAATCGTACATGCGTGCCGTTTGATCCTCCGAGCAGGAGGCAAAGGCAAAGCCGCTTGGATGATACTGGAAACCACACATGCAAATCGAAAAGAATTCAAACAGTAGATAGATGGTGGCTAACTTACGCAAACGGAGGACACATCCATGGTGTGACCGAAAAACATTTGCTTGTGTCCCTCTTCGCGTACATCCCACAACTTGGCAGTTTTGTCCACTGAGCCGGTTATATAAGTATTCATATCAGGTGACAATGAAAGACCCGCAATATCGCCAGCATGCCCATTAAAGTCCATAGTCTTGACGCCCTTCTCCAAATCCCAGTGGCAGCTGTAATCCGTGAATAGTCAGGCTAATAGGTCAGCATTCCTGAGCTTGTTGCCAACTTACATTTTCATATCACCCGAACCGGTTATCAAATGGCCATCATCCAGAAAACGACACGAGCTTAGAAATCCCTCATAGCCGACTAGCTCACGCACCATTTTGGCCACTCCGGAGGCATCACGATTGTTCACATCGTAGACGGTGCATGCGTTGTCCATGCCACCGCAGGCCACAAAGTTGCCCGACGGCGAGAAGGCGACGGTCATTACCCAAGCCGAGCGCAATGGTATAATCTGTACCTTGTTGGCCGTCCAGGTGTCCCAAATGATCAGTTTGCCATCCAATGAGCCAGTGACACAGTGGCGCGAATCGCCCGCAAAATGCACCGAGTTCACCTTATTTATGTGACCTTTTAAAATCTTTTTCGATGAAAATCGTATTTTGGATACATCGCTCATGTCACCGCATTTGTCCGCCAGTGTGCAGTCCGCCTTGGCATTTTGATCATCCTAGGGAATTTATATTACAATTAAAAGGAATTAATAGTTTTATATTTATTTAGAGAATATCAAGGTGTAACCTTAAACTTTTGTATCATGCCATTGATCTCGTCGTAGAGGCTTTGGGTTTCTGGATCAATTTTCGGCATGATTGCGCATTAAATTTAAAATCGCAGCAAATAACCGTTACAGCGCACAAGACCAATCAAGAACGCGTCGCAACACAAACTAATGTCGAAATAAATATTTAACTTACACTGTTATGATGCTAGTCGAGACGTTAATGCAATTAACTAATTGGATTAGTTGTTAGACAAACGCAATTACACATTTTAGGAATATTCAATATTCAAAACTTGCGCGCGCATTACAAACACACGCATGCGCAATAAAGAGGGCTGCCAGCTCTCTTAAACTTAGCACTTTACAGCACTGCATGGTCACTTAACAGAAATACTGCTGGCTGCTTAACAGAATGTTAATCGATCTTTAAGGTAACGCAAGCTCAGATTTTATTTGGCGAGTTTTTACAAATAATCCAAAAATGGTGAAAGTGATTTTTATTTATATAGAAAATAAGTGATATTGTTTAAAATGTTATATGTGACTTATTATTGCAAATACAATCGATATATATCGATACGAAACCAACATCAACGCACAGCTGTTAAGCGTGCTATTTGACAGCTGTTCAGTCATCAAAAGAATTTGGGGCCACAAGGATTTGCTGCATTTTATTTTAATAATTAATGCAACAGCCAGCCGCCAAAATGAGCCACAGGCGCAGGTACTAATATTAAAGCGCATAATGGAAACACTACCATGTGCTAGCGAAGTGGCGCAAATGCAGGAGCACCAACAGCAACAACAATCTGAAACCCTTGTAAATATAAAACGCGTTTCGCTACCTTTCGAGAGGCAAAGCCCTATGGACACGGATATGACCAAAGCCGAGGATGTGGGGCAAATGCTAAAACAGAAGCCGCAGCACGCGGCAACTCTTGTTGGCGTCGCGGCACAGGCACAGCTTGTGAATCTCAGCAGCATTGACAGCCTCTGCGAGAATGTGGTTAACATACCCAAGGAGCTAATCCTCATATCGATGGTATCACAGGAGCAGGCTCTTTACAATCCCAAGCATCAGCTCTATCGCAGCACAAAGAGCAAGGATGAAAAGTGGAGTGAAATTGGTAGCCATGTGGGCTGGACAGGTGATATAGACGTAGCGCACTTCTAATTATAAATCAATGCTAAACAGTTTATTGTCGGCAAACAGATGCGCAATGTAAGGCCAAATGGAAGGCCATGAGGGACCAATATTGCCGTGAGCTAAAACGCGCCAAAACGAATACCAAAGGCAACGTCAAGTGGAAGTACTTCAAGGAGCTGGACTTTCTGCGTCCTTATGCGCTGGCACGCAAGTAAGTTGAGCCAGGGACGGACACATAATTTATATATCACATCTATATCTATTCATGCCCACTTCCAGCTATCGATCACGTGGCGCGCAGAACGGCAATGGAATTCTGACGTCGATATCGCTGCCCAATATGAGCACCAGCACAACCACCACCAACAGCAGGGGCAACGTGAATAACAATTCTTTTAGCAACAGCAATAGCAGCAGCCAAAATCTTACCTTGACCACAGAATGCAGCAAATTTACCAACATCAAAATCGAGGAGCGAAGCGCCTCGCTGCTGGAAAACTGCAGCTTTGTACCGACAACAACAACGACGGTGACAACAGCAACTGCATCCGCTGTGGCTGCGCTTGATAAGAAAACGGATGCGTCGCGTGGAATTAGCGCATATTTAGCTAGCCAAATCATGCAGCAGCAACAGCCGTCACAGCAGGAAACCAATTGGAACTATTTGACCGATGCAAGTGGAAATGCCGTTGGCTCTGCCACATCGATAACTGTTACCTGCGAGACGCCGAATCAAACGTCTGGCAATACGCTTTACAATGAGTTTGTGGACTGTGTGAATGCTGCCAACGTTGTGAGTCAATCGACAACGCACAATCATCAAACGAATGCCGATGAGGAGGACGATGATCCAATACACACATTTCTCAATATGGAAAGCTACTTTGAGAAGGAGCTAATCATACTGATACAGCAGGAGGATATGATCTACAACTATAGCAATCAAAACTATCGCAATGTCAAACTAAAGCTGGAAGTCTGGGATGAAATAGCGCGAAAACTTAAGAAGCCAGGTTGTACACTAAAATTGTTGAGCATTTCAATATTCCACATTGTACTATATATATCTTATATGATTATAGTCAAGCAATGCCGACAGAAATGGAAGGCACTACGGGACCAATATGCACGGGAGTACAAACGTCTGAAAACGCAGCTGCATATTGACGCCACATCGCGTTGGAAGCACTATGATTCCCTCGGCTTTCTACAGAAATATATTCAACAAAAGTCGCTGTAAGTAGTTAAATGTATACAGAGTTGGCAAATGAATAACTATTTGTGTTTTGTTTCATGCAAATTGCAGTGATGGAGACACGCTGAACATGCTGCTGCCCAAGCACGAACTTGAGGAGCATATGGCCCAATCGCCATTGCAGCATTCCGAGCCACAGTCAAGCACTTTGGATACATCGCCCAGTAGCTCATCCCAGCTTAACATGTCCACACTGCCGCCGCTATCGGGTCCACACAAAGTCGAACTGTCTGCCACAATGCAGCAACAACAGCAGCAGGAGGTGCAGCAACCCAGCGAGCTGTGCGTGGCCAGTTACGATGAAATGGATATAGAAAACTATATAAACGGCGATGTGGTGCATGATGATGAGGGTGAGGAGAACGAAAACGAGGATATGGAGACGACGCCAACATCTGAACAACCTACACAACAGCAGCAGCAACAACAACATGTGGTTAACTATGAGAATGATGATGATTCCGTTTATATGGCCGTGCAAAGCGTAAGCAATGCCCTATCCAAGTCGGAGCCGCTCAACGAGACGGGCAGCAGCCTGGAGCCACAGCAGCAGCAACAGCTGCAACAACAACTACAAGCTGCTGGCGACTATACGCAAAAGCTGGAGGTGCATACGCCCACTTCGACCAGCACACGCTTTCAAAATACAGCCAACACGCCATCAACGTCTAGTCAGGCTGTCTTTCCACTCGGCGCCTGTTCCATGGCTACAGAGGAGGATGAAATCGGTGCCTTCTTCAAGGCCGTTGCCATGAAAATACGCAGTGCACAATTGGAGCCCGTGGCTTTTACTGATCTGCAAATTGATATATTGCGGGTCATTAACGAGGCGCTGCGTAATCACTAGAAACAAGTGAAGGACGCAGAGATAAAGATCTCGATGGACCCAAAAAATGGTTACAATGCGTTGCGCGTTATTAGCTCTTAAGTGTTATTTGAAGAATGATTTGGATTATTAGCTTGATTTATGATTTTTCCTTGTCATTTCTTAATTCGCCAAACACACATCTAAAACGAAAAAAAATATTTTTTTGTATATACAAAAAATAATGTTGTTAAGCTTCCGGTGAACACAGCCGGAACTAAAACACAAAATTGTTAAAAAACCAGATAACAAACTTAATGTGTACACTTACAAAATGGAACAACAACATAGTGAAAGAAGAATATATGTATATTTTTCTCAAAAAAAAAGTGTTAAGTGCTTATGCGGTAATAGTTACTAGTTAATATTCCCTGGATCCTCCATGTTACTCTTTGGTGCTTGTTGCTTTGGAAGGATGCTTCAACATGGGAAATTCTGTTTAAAAACTTGAGAATTAAATCAAATGGCCAAATATGACAACTGTATACGATGGAGAAGTTACTCTAATCCAAGACAAACATTAGAAGTCCGACTATATAGCAGACACCTGACTACCTCTCCTGCGCTCAATTCGACAGGGTATAAAAATCAATGCAGCTGGCGGCACTCAGCAGTTGATGTAGCTTCTTGCCGCATACTTTGGACACCGCTTTGACTCCGTTTGCTGCCACCCAGTTTGCAGCATCTGTGCACAAACATTTGGACAACTACTGAGCAACGCAGCGAACTGGAGTTGCCTCCCAAGTGCCCAAGTGGAGCACTTGCGCAGACCACCCAACCTGCCCGCAGACAGTTGGCTCTGTTTATATGTTGCATATATAACACAACAGTTGCTGCTCTTATTTAGCCAGGCACCACAGCTGTCGCTGGAAAATGGCTGTTCCTTGGCATTGGCCAACGGATTGCGAAACGGGCATAAACCGGTTTAACTGCTGCATCCAATGGGCAGGCGGCGTAAGCGAGACGACAATAGTCTGCCTACTCTGTACATAGAACGCATCGGGGGCGGGCCCAGCGCCATATGGCGGCGCATTGGGTGTGGTTACTTAACCAGCAGCTGCTGCCGCTGCTGCTGCTGCTACCAAATGTTATGTAAAAGTGAAAATTATTAATAAACATTTTCATTTTCAGGCGGAAGTTCGAAGCCGTTGAAAGCTAATCAAACGGAGAGAAAGCTCGATAAACGGAACCTATGGCACAGGGCGAAATGTGTTCGGCATGGAGCCACGCTTGATTGATTCTGTTTAGCTGTTTGTTTTTGCAATTCATTTGCATCCAGTTCTCAACGGTTGAGTGCGTGAGTTTTAATTAAATCAAATATGGGCGTGGGTTTACAGGTACTACCCACAAAATGGTTGACTTGTATGGTGGGCAAATTTTAATATTAATCTGAAATATTACACCCATGAGTATAGCCTTATGCTACCCATTCCTTAGCTTTATATACTTTCGCTGATGTCATTATCTTGATAAGACTTGGGTTTTGCTAAAAAAAGGACAAATGTCATAATTAAATTGCAATCGACTAAACTCAACTTTAACGACTTTCATAAAGTTGATCCAATATTTTTTGCTCTAGAAGTGATTTAAATATATTTTTAGTTAACCTTGGGTAGCGTTAATAAAACTATTCTTATGAAGCTATGAACTTAAGATTATATTTTTGCCGTTTTATACCCTTGTAAAGGGTATTATAAGTTTATCATGAAATGTGTGAGGCATAAAAGCAGATACCTCCGACCTCATAATGTATACATATTTTAGATCAGCATATATTCAGATCAGTCAAGTTGATAAAGACATGTTCATCTGTCCACCTGTCCGTCTGTCTGATTATCTGTTTCTATGCTATTCTTTCAATTTTAAAGCTAACGTCTGGAAACTTTACTTAGGTCCTTCTTTCTGTCGCAGGGAGTACGTATTGTCAAGATATCTTGACCCTTCGCGGAATGTACTATTAAAATAATGCAGCTTAAATTTGAGCCTTATCAATATCGAATTACTATATTATAAAGCTTTATAGGAAGAATTGGTAAAAAAAATGAGTTTTTGTATAGTAAAATATTCTGTTTTCCAAGGTATTTTCATCAAAGCCAGCATTTACGAGCCTGACTATTCTGACATATTTACAAAACCGTAAGGAAAATGTCTATAAGGGTATTAAAGGAGTGTAAGGATATCTTCGGCATGCAGAAGTTTGGGTACTTTTGAAGAATTATGCCTTACGGTTATGTAGATATGTGAGGAAAATAGCTTAGTATTTTCTGAGTTTGGTTTAGATATTCTGTAAATCAGAAAATGGTTTTTACACAAGAGCTTCTTTTTCGACCGAGCATTCTTATGGCAACATTATAATAAGATTTTATGTTATGTTAATAAGATTTTACTCTTACAGGGATACTAGGGAATGCCGAGTTTTCGCAAGATAAGTTAAAAAGTTTTTTATACAAGAACTTAGTTTTCGACCGATCATTCTTTAAGATATAGTGGTCCGATACGATTAAAAAAACCCATACAAACAAACAGCCAGAGAACGAAGATGCGTCCTTTTATGCGTTACACATTTCATGCTAAAATTAAAATTCTCTCTACAAGGGTAGAAAGAAGAAAGTTTTCATATTTTCGCCTTAATTAAATTTAAAACAAGCTCTTTTCATTTAATATCCACCCAAAGTTGGGTGCGATTTTAATATTAATTTATTTAACCCAGATATAAATTGTATATCTAAAATATAAATTATAAAAAAATGCGGAAATATTTAAAGAAAATAGGTTATTGGTTACATTTTGTACAATTTTGCAAATCGTTTCGTGATGAAAACATCTGGCGCGTCTTCGGTACTTGGAACTCAATCAGCTGAACAGCTTAAGTGAAAACTCGCAATTTTTCCGTTTTACCGTTTGCATGCAATTTCCAAGACGCAGCGACGGAAACTATTTTCGCGGCTCATTTAACGGGCTCGCCCGGCAGACACACAACTAGAAAAACTGTTAAAAAAATATGATATGCTCATAAATAACAATATTTTTATTGCCTGCGGGCAAGAGTTACACTGTAACTGCTGCCACACTTAAACCAATTTGCAGCTCCCCTTTCCCTGGCTGCCCAGCCCTTAAGTACGTGAGATTCACGACGATGGCGAACATGCCTCGGTGCATCGACGCCCACAAACTCGGTCCTGTGGGGCCTGCAGGCAGGAAAAAGATAAAGTGAAAAATCGTCAAAAAAAAATAAAATACCTTTTACTTAGCTTGAATAATTTTATAAGTATACGACTTGAGGTTCTGTCTGACAGTAAAGAGAATTGAAGAAGTGTCTCTTAATGGGTATACCCTTCTTGTTGCATGGCTACAGGGCATGTATATGGATTTAAGACTCATTTCCTGCCGTGTGACGAATTTTTCAGTTATAAAGCTGAAAATAAACGCCTGCAGCTTTGGGTCGAGATGAGAAAAATAACAAAAAATAAAAAACTCTCAACGAAAGTCGGCGACAAAATGCTGACAAACTGCGAATTGGCGAGCTTGTGGGGAAAAACTGGTGGGCTGTTATCATAAATAAAGAGCGCCAAATGTCAAACGTTGTCCGGGTTATAATATCATAAAGTAAATGCAAGTGGCGCAGAAATCAAACATGCAACATTTCGAGCATTCGAACAATTCACGATTTATTGGCCATGTTCATAATGTTGCGACTGCGAGCACAAGAGCGGGCCTGCACTTTTTTTTCGCTTCTCTTTTTTTCAAACTGAATTGTTTCCGGGAACTGCTGCTCCAACACCAACAACAATGGCCCACAACAACGACAACAGCAACAACAACAACAAGAAAAACGAAGCGCTGAAAAGCTTGTAAAACATTTGTAGCAACTGCTGCTGGCAGTTGCAGCCGCAGTTCGCAGTTTGCAGTTCGATTCAATTGCGATTCCGAGGCGGCTGCTACTGTGGACCACGTTCACCCAGCCAAAATGTTTTATTCATAAAGCAACAGCAGCAGCAGCAGCAGCCACAGCAGCGGCAGCGACAAGATCATCGCCGTTTGTTCGCTTTGAGTGTCCGCTGGCTGCTGCTGCCTTTCTGGCCACGTCCAGTTGCAGCTCCTGTTCCTTGTTCCAGGGGCCCAGCCGTCGGCCTATGCTAATTTTAAGCAAACTTATCAGACGGCGCGCATCTTGCCCAGCCTTTGGCTGTTAGATTGCCCCATATGACCAACTCACAAAGGGGTGCTAATCGCCAAATTTACAACTTGATGCAAACGCTCAAATACACACAAACACACACACACAAAACGCAAATGGTCCAGAAAACAAAACGACCACAAAAATGGGGGGTTTAGTATCTGCAACTGTTTTGCTAGACAAAACTATAAAAATCAACACAGCGCAGAGAGCTACAATGATATCCACACACCCAAGACCTAATACCACGCCACTCTTCATGCCCCCCCCCCCCCCACCGGTCTACAAACACACGAACACACTCAAAAGTTGTGGCAACGACTTTCACCCGCCCCGCTAAGCATGCTACGAAAAGCGTTACATTTGAAAAATGTACTTTTTTTCACACTACCATCCCCACCCCGCAGAACAGTGGTGACATTGGCTGGCGCACAGTGGTACCGATTATGTCAATATGGTCAATAGGCAGATAGGGAATACTTTTATACAAATATATTATTATGAAATACTCTGAAGTATTAGAAAATTCACATAAACAAGAAGAACTGCTCTCTTCGCCGAAGATTAAATAAGCTTCTTTTCAATCAATTTTTTTAATAGGAACCATATGATATAACAATTCAATGTCGATAGAATTTGACTTACTATATGTATACTATTTGTATTCCAAAGTCGATAGACTTGCGCAGATGTGCTAGGAGAAGCCAATCAGTTTGGTTAAAATATTGTTTTAAACAAAGAATATGAGATCAAGAATATATATACTTTATGGGATCGGAGATGCGTGATGCATTTCGTAACAAAATTAAGGATGTTAAGGATATTTAAAAT